CATTGGTCACTTCCTTGAATTTTTTTGTATTAATTACAACTCAAGTAAATTAATTTTTTTTATATACGTGGATATAACTTATTATCTTATATTGGATTATTAAAGATCTATCTTTATGAGAAGATTATTGAATTATTTCAAATGTGTCCTTTTCAAATTTGATAATATTAGTTTTGTAATGTAATGAGACAAAGAAGGCAATTTCTCAAAAAATTTCTTACTGTTATTATATACTCTCGTTTCTATCTACTTGTTCATATTTTCTTTTATATTAGTTCTTATTTACTTGTTTATTTTAACAAATCAAGAAAGAACAGTAATATCTTTTTTAATATGTCATTCAATTCAAGAAAATTTCTAGTACTACTAAGTTGTAATGCATGTTTTTTGGAATCAGAAAATATATTTATTATATTTGGAGAGTTGTAAAATCTTTTAAATTAAGAATAAAATTATAACTAACATATGATAATCACTACGGTCTTAATATTTATACTACTTCTTAAGTGGATAACTAAATAGGAACAGAGGGAGAGTACTTTATATTTAGAGCCTGTTTGACTCAGCTGGTCAAATTGACTTAAAAGCTGGTTTTTGACTTATTACCTGTTTGGCAATACTCAAAATAACTTATTTTAAGTTAAAAAAAAACTTATTTTAAGCCAAAAGTTATAAGCTGGGGTAGGAGTGCTTTTTTTTTTAGCTTATAAGTTGTTTTAAGTTGACCACATTTTTATCTTTTTCCCCTTAATATTTTATACAATCTCCAAATTACCCATATAACCCTAACATTTCTTTCTTCCATTTTTCCCTTTTCACGTTTGACATAACAACTTAAGCACTTTTATCCAAACGCATAACTGCTTATTTTAAAAATAAGTTTCAGCACTTTTAAAAATACTTTTTTAAAGTTGCTTTTATTAAGTCTATCCAAACGGACCCTTAATTTCTCCCATCAAGTTGCAAAATAAGATAACTTTTTCGTTTTCCAATTACAAATTATTTGTAATTTCATTCAACTCTCTAATTATATACTTAAGATAAGCATCATAACTTGTCTAATTAATATTTAACAGTTTAATACTTGACTTACCTCTCCAAACATGAAAACTTAATCTAACCCCAAACAGCCAAAAAATTTCCACAAGAAATAGGTCACAACGTATGACTTTTTGCCAATAAATATATTCATTATTTAAATTTATAGTTCGTAAATTTAAAAATAAAACAAGTTCCAACATTTGAAATAGATAATTTATACTTATTAAAATAAATTTTTCACCCAATATAAAGTTTAAAACTAAAATTAATTATTTACTAGCGCGATAACCATAACTATTTATCGAAATACACCTTATAAAATAACCACGAACGCTATTTATTTTTTACTCTAGAACTAAATGCCAAGTTTCAAACCCATCCTCAAAGGAAGAGAAAAAAAATATATTTTAAAAAAAAACATTCTTTTTTTAATTATATAAATATTTTAATAATGATACACATGTCAGTCTTTGGTTATAATTTCATATGGTCCAAATATCAAAATAGAAAAACTATGTTTACCATCACTTCACTCCAAACCGCCCATGTTTGATGACTTTTTATAGTAAAATTAAAAAAAAAGTAAAATATTTATTAGCTAAATTAAAATAACTATTAAAAATTAGTATGGCCTTCTAATTGACAGTTAATTTTTTTTATCTCATAAATATTACTCCCTCCATTTAAAAATATTTGTCATGTTACGCTTATCGAAAATTAATTTAACTAATTTTTAAAAGTAAATTGTATCACATTAATTCGATATTTTAAACAAAAAAATTTGATATTCTAAAACTATATGAAAAGTACTATAAATTACAATTTTTTCAAATTAATGTGATAAAAAAAATGCATTTTAAAATGTTAGTCAAAGTTTTTATAATTTTACTTTAAAAATAGAAACCATGACAAACAATATCGGACGAAAAAAATATTATTTAGCATATATATAAAATATAATATGAAAAATAATTTTAATATTTTTTTGACGATTATACTGATATATTATTATAGAGGATCCGTTTGTATTAGGTTTAACTAATTAAGACTTGTTAATCTCAGCAAGATAGGAGCTCTTTTGATCGGGTAATAATAGAAGATTTTTGACTCTTATAAGGTTAAATTAATTGTATTTGTGATTTTGTTACGTACGTAATATATTGAAATTGAAAAATTTATACTTCATTCGTTTTTTAAAAAATGATTTTCTTTTCTTTTTAGTATTTTTCAAAAAGAATGACCTCTTTTCTTTTTAGTATTTTTCAAAAAGAATAACCTCTTTTCTTTTTGGGTAACAACTTGTCACGTGACATGTTTAAGGCCACAAGATCAAAGGGCAATTTTGTACATTTGATCTAACTTTAATTTAGGATCACAAGATTAAAAAATTTTCTTTATATTATTATACTCCATGTCAAGTCAAAGTAGGTTATTCTTTGTGAAATGGAAGGAGTATTTTTTATAAGAATGATTTTTCTAGATAGATAAAAAATAAACGAAGCGGGACATCTAAAGTGAGTATCGATTATCGAATAAGTATTATATACTTGAAATTCATTTTCATTATCGAGAATTCAACAATTTAATTATGAATTTACGCATAAATTGTCATAATTAATAAATATAAATTTTATTATTTAACAGTATGAAATGCTGATCATATCGAGGAAAGAACCATAAACAAATAGCAAAAGTAACAACTTGCATGGATATTTATCAATTTATGGCCTTAAGTTATCGAATTTTAATTTTGCCTTTAATGACCTAGCATTTGACATTTAAATCAATTATTGAACCTAATCACTTAATTTGTTGTATTAGTTTTTTCCTTACACCTAATTTTTTTTCCTTGTTTCCCTTTTAGTTTTTGGAGTCTAAATTGAAGCCCTGACTAAATACGAATTACTCACTGTAAAACTTATTCGAAGGTGATGCTCCCAATAAGATTTTCTTCATCACCAGACTTTGAACTCGAGATCTTTGATTACGAGAGTAGCAATCTCACTATTACTATACCACTCCAACATTAACTTCCATTGTATATTAGTTAATCATAGAGCAAGTATACTCATAATCATCATCATAAAAAGAAGTCAACTCTTTTAATGTCTTCTTTGGATCCTTTTATTACCAAAACACAAATTAAAAGTGAAAGCAAGTAAATTTTTAGAGAGTTGTGTGTAGCTTATCTAATGGACGGTTGGATGATGATGTTGATAGTGAGAGGTGGGGCCCAACCAAAAAAGAAAAAAGAATTTTCTAGAGTTATTGGAGTTATATATACATGGGTAAAAATTGACATGTATATAATATCAAATTATTGTTTGATTACATGATATTTATCGATCAAAAGATAATTGAGTCATCAAAGTATGAATGATGTGACCATACTATATATGCAAGACACCTCACATATTATCAAGACTAATCCAATATTTAGATGAATATGAGTTCAATTCATCACGTAAATTAAGATTAATATAATAAACGTTTAGATAATATTTTGAAAGAAGCAAATAAATATGTAGATTTTTTAACAAATGAAGTACATAAACATAAAGAAGATATCGTAATCAATGAAGCTCCGCTCAAGAAAATGGAGTTAAAGGTATGTTTTGCTAGATGTAAGAAAATAAATAAATAATTGAAGTGATAATAATTAATTAAATCGAAGAAATTATTAGAAACACTCTAAGCCATAATGGAATATTGCATTAGTTTTGACTTTTGAGTTAGTGATTGGTTTGTATTTATGGGTTTGGTTACAATCCAATTAATAAATTATAATTAAATCAATAGCATTAGCCTCGTGTTTAAATTAATCAGGCTTTAAACATAATAATGAGATAATATTGCAATTAAAAATTAAAAATAAAAGATACTGTATATCACTATTTTAAGATAACAATAATGATAATATATTCTCGTATAATTTTACAAATTAAATATGAGAAGATATATCTTTATGAAATATGAAAATCAATTTCGATAGACCATCTACTTGAAATAAAGAGATATTTAGTGAATGACACGAATGAAAATGCTTTGTATCAAAATTCCATTAAACTTGAGTTTTTCACTATTAGCATATGGTCTATGTTTAAGATGAAGAAAATATTATCAAATTCACTCATAATAATAATAATAATAATAAGTAAATTTATGTGAAATGCTTTGGATATCTAACTTGCTATATACAATAAAATACAATAATTATTTAGTCTTTATATACACAAATCAATTACTATAATATAGTTCAATCATTTCCACAAATGATTTTGACATTTTATAAAAACAAAAATGAATGAAATATTAATGCTAACATGGCACATGTTGAACTTAGCTATCATTGAAAAATTAAGGTCCAATTTGCGAACTTTTCTTTGATTCTTGACACATGTCATGCTGGATTTGAAGAAATAGAAATGAAAGTCTAATTCCGCTAGAGAAAGTTGAATATGAATTAAACCAAAGAGGAGTTTTTGACTCAAAAAGTAGTGGCAGGAAAGGAAGCAGCACACCAGGAGTGAAGACGAAACAAGATTTCAGTGATTCCGTCTTCTATTAATTCTTTATTCAAATTCAATTCCAACAAATAAACAGATTTCTAAACTTGTTGGATTTTTTCATCAGATATTTCAACTACGTCATTTTCTACTAAATATTGAATCCTCATAATCCGTTCCCTTTAAACAAACACCGTTGTCTAATGTAGAACCAGATTTATGATGAGTATTGATAGAGGATACGTATTTTGTTCCACAACTCATTAGTCCAATTGATAGTGAAAATGTTCGAGAATAATTGTGTTTTACTTAAGTCATTTGAACACAATTAGAAAAAAATGAGACTAACACGAGTTTTCTTCATTCCTTCAATCAAAATTATTACAGTTCGAACACAATTAAAGACATTTATAATAGAAAAGCCGATCAAAATCAACCAATATTATTTTTTAAAAAAATTTGGACCATTTCTCGATTTGTGCGTGTCATCCTTGCGCATGGGCCATGCTAATCTTCTCTGTATGTTCCAATTTTAAAGGAACAAATTATGGGTAGTTCAATAATTCAATAGAAAATGACATAGTTAAGACATTCGAGAAAAAAATTCTAACAAGTTTAGAAATTTATTTATGTAATCGACAAAAATTAACATCATTTATCACTTAGGAGACGTGAATATAACAAACTTATTATGTCGATTTTAATGGTTGAAGAGAATAGAGTATATATTTCATTATTTTTGATAAATTCTCGATTAAACAAGATAAATATATATAGAGTAAATTGTTGTCAATAGATTCTGGAGATAACAAAACAAGAAGCAAAATTACGTAAACGTTTGATATTGATATTAGGCATAAGCCAATTCCATTTCGGTTTCAGGGGTAAAAAAGGGAGGAATTTGTTCTCACATGTATTTACGAGATCAATAACTTTGGTACAACCTCCAAAATGGATCAATCCTAGCCGTTGATTAGATTCTAATCAAATCCCCACCCTTAAAACAAACACACTTTTTCACCGAAATTGAAAAAAGAAAAGAAAGGAGAATCAAACGATCACCAATTACTTATCAACATCTATGCTGCTGTTCCATCATAATACAGAAGTCCTCGAAGCATACAAACCCATCACCATTTTTATCCACACCTCTTATCATACGCCGGCACTCCTCTAACGTGCACCGTGAATCTCCGATCTGCCTAAACACGCTAAACAGCTCATCCGCCGTGATCTTCCCGTCGTGATCGGCATCGAAGAAATCAAAAGCATCTCTCAGCTCAGAATCACACGCCGGCGGTCCAAACGCTGAGCTAATAGCTCCGAATTCCTGTAAACTAATACATCCATCTCCGTCAACATCAACTTCTTCAAGCAACAACATGAGTTCCTCCTTACTCGGTGGTTCAGTCCCGACTCTGCTTAAAATCGCTTCCAGCTCTTCCTTCCTTATCTTACCGTCGCCGTCAGTATCCATCATGTGAAACGCATGGATTAGCTCAGCGTAAACTACTTCCGCAGCAGAGATTTCGTTCGGTAAGACGCTAGTTGGAGTAGATGATCCGGTTGGTTTTCTGAAGCCGCGATGAGGAAGGGAATCGGAATCGGAGGAGGAACCGAAGGATGAGGTTTGAGATCTGGAAATTGATCGAGTTTTTTTGTAGTTGAAGAGCTTTTTGGGGAAGTTTTTGAGGAGCTTCATAGCTATGGAGGATGAGAAAGTGAAATGGAGAATGAAAAAACAAGAAAAGATGAGTGTATGAGATAGAGGAAGAAGATGGAGATTAAATGGTAGAAAGCCATGGTGAATTTCCAGGAAACTTCGTAGTGAGAGAAAATGATTTGAAGAGAATACACTGTACTTTTGGTATATTTGTTCAATTATATTTGGACCACTATGGCCCCTCTCTTTCGATACGAATTTAAATTTAGTCTTTAGTTCATCGATATCGAATCAAAAGCCTGTAGTACTCATTCAATATTTAATATTTGTATTCATCTGCAGAATTATAACTTATATACTCAATCTATTTGTTCGATATTTGATTTAAGTGTAGAGTTACAAACTCGTATAATCATTTCGATTTACTTGAATTATATATTTTTTAAAACTACACTATGAAAAAGGACCAAAAATATCGCAATATCAACCTTTTTATCTTAGATTTATTAATTTTCATTATTTTCTAATCTTTTATTAATAAATCAAAATATATTTCTTATAATTTTATACGTATTATAAGTTATAACATTATGTGATTACAAAAACTTTACATTAAAAGATACATAATTAAATGTTCATAAGTATAGAAATACTAGTTTACTATTTATAGATAGAAAATCAAGTTTACTATTAAACTCAATGATGATATAACTAAAAAAAATCATAAAATTTATTGAATCAAAGAAAACGGACAATACCTAAGTCACTTTCATTATTTATGTTTGTGGGACTTTAATTTAATCGCCAACTACTAGAAGTATTCTGCATTTAAAGAGTGATAATTATCTCTTTTAGAATGTGTTTGTGAAAAAAATGAGTGGTCGAGGGATGTTACGTGTTTATCATAATTATAAGTTATAATATAATGTTTATTTTTCAAATTATGTAGAGAAAAGAAAAAAGAATTTTATTGAACGAAAATTAAAGAACATAAAAGCTTTTAGTGAAAAAGTAATGTAAAAAGAAAAATCAATTAACTTATATATCGGTTGATATTAATATCGAGTGTATGATTGGACATATAGGTTACAAGATTTAATTAATTTGATAGGTACTTATGATTGATAATCAATAAGTAAATGATTGGACATAAGTTAGTTTTAATTAGGTTCATTAATTATATATAAGAGAATCATCTTATGTTTATATTCTAACTATGGTTTCCTATTCATTCATTGCACCAAAACTTGGTGTTGGATTCATTGTTGCACGCCAAGATAGGCTAACACATTATTTTAGTAGCAAAAGTTACGTCCAAGTCAGATTCTTTCTCAGTAAGATAGTAAAATATATAGCCTCGATGAATATACTACTTAGCTCTAAAGAAATATATGTAATATTCATGACACGTGAGCATTAAAAAGAACGATCGATTCACAAACTTCAGAATTAACATCTATCGAAGAAAACAGTACACAACACTTTATAGATTATTAATTTGTCTCGTTTGGTCTTCACTTGTCTAAATGCAGTTAATAACACCAACTGACAGCCCATTCAAACGTCTTGTAATTAGACTTTATGGCCAAACTGCTTCTGGACCACAAAAATTAAATTTATAATCGAATTCCATTAGTAAAATCCGAAAAACATGATAGATATATAACTTTTGAGAGGTACATGCATTATTTTCAATCGCAAAAGTAATAATAATGTTACGATAACAATATACTTAATGTGATTCTGTCGTTATCCTATCCCAACCTTAAGAATTAGCTAGAGAAATTGTTTACGATAAATTCTCTATTATTTAAAGACTTGTGACAACTGGAAAACCTCCTGGCCAGGACTCAAAAAGACTTGTCAACACACTTCAGTGGCAGACAATTTGCACATGCCACTCTTCCAAATGCAGAGAAACAGGCAACTGTTTTGCCTATACAAAAGTCACTCAGATAGTCACCAGACACAGGATATTTAGACATGTAAAAGACAAAATTCAGCTCGAAGCGTTACCCTTGAATAGTTCATACAGTGTGCGGTCTAAGGTTTGAATATGTATAGGCAAAATTCTACTCGAAGCGTTACCTTTGAATAGGTCATACAGTGACTGATCTAAATTATAGCGCAAGCGATCGGTCAAATATGGTTCTCCATAACACAATTTAACTAGGGATATAAGAAACAAGAAAAAGATTCTTTAAAATTAGCTCAGAATTATCAAAGTTGTAAATTTTCATTGAGGACTAAAAGTACTATGAACTAGTAGAAGAGTGATGATCAGTACACTAAAAAATAACTACACATAAAATTAGTAACTCTTGTATTTACAATATCAATTCTGAGTGTGTTAGCTCTGACTATAAACCATTGAGTATAAAAGAATATTTTGAGTGTTCTGTGTCCTGTGCAGAATAATCAAAGCTAAACGAACCTCGTTTTCTCAATGATCGATAACTTGCTTGTCGATGACTTGTTTATCTTCCCCATCATCAATGGTTGAACGATTATCACCAGAGTGAACGGAATCAACTTCATTTATCTTGCCACTTTCTTGCTCAACATAGTCCTCACCATCCTCAGATACTGAGCTAATATCCATCTCCTTTTCTGGACTGTCAAGTTGCACACACTCAGCAACTGTATCCTGCACAGAACTGTTATTTTCTGAATCGAGGCTTCTATTCGATGGGGTTACGTCTCCTTTTCTTACCACGTTGAAGACAATACCGTTGTTAGTCCTTTCTGGCTGTAGAAGGTCACCTTCACCTACCATAATGCTTGAACTACCCGCGGGGACTCTAATACTGAAGTCTCTTTGATCAAATTCGGTGTCTGAAGTTCTATCTGGAGTTGATACCCTTGGGCTCGGGGAGAACAGGTCTCTACCAGCCATCTGAGGAACGAGATTGTTGAGGTCAATAGTCAATCCTTTGTTCAATCGTGAACCAATCTCCAAGTTCTGGACAAAGTCGATAAACTTATCAGCAGATGTTGTCCTCATCAGAGGACCACCAGATCTTGTCCAAGAGTTAAGGTCCACATTTTCGGACTCGCTGTCACTGCCATCATGTGCGCTCCGGTGTGTTCGCCAATTTCTGGTGGTATGTGCGCCGGAACCACTGCCTCCTTGATGATGTGAAGCAGCAACATCCGCAAGAAAGTCTTCAAGGGAACCTGTTGAATTCTCTCGTGCAATGCAGTTCCAAGAAGGAATTCTTCTGGAAGCATTAAATCTGACAGTGCTTGACAAGCCGTGAGAAGCAGCAGCCGCTCTCTCGGCACTCCTTTTCAGTCTACGCATGTGATTCAGAATAGCAACACATTCATCAAGTGCAAGCTCAATTCCACAGTTAGCTTTAATGGCTGAGAGTTTTTCCCAAGTGCACCGTCTTCCTTGATTTGCTGCCTTTTGCAGCTCCAGAGTAGAGGGGTTCTGTATGATTTTCGAGTACTGTATCATAAACAAAAATGGAACAAAGATCAGTGTCAAGCCAACCTGCAGTCTTCCTTGTACAACTTATTTGAAAATAGAGACAAAATTTCGAACAAACTTGTCATGATTTACGAAACAACACTTTTTCCTTAATTGCAAAAAGAGAAATTGCTAGTAGTGGACATACCTGAGCTAGAGTGGCAGGCATCACAACAGTTACGTCACCCTCCCAATCTTGAGCAAAAAGCTTTGCTATTCCTCCCAAGGGAAAACCAAGTTCTAACACCTGGTGGCATCTGTGCTTCACCTCCATTTCAGCAAGCTGGGCAAGCTGCACGGCCAAATACTTTATGTTACAATTGTTCTGCTTAAATTCAACGCTAGGAGCATGCAAGGATATGAGCCATGAACTAGCAATAGCAATTCTTAGTTACGAGTTAACAACAACCAACAAGGCCT